GAGAAGGCCTGTTATACAGGAGAGTAAATTGGATACTCAGGACTCGAGAATAACCGAGTTTGACAGGCTTTGTAAGATGCTACAAAAAGAGATCTGCAAACTACAAGTGGATTAACTAAATTTAAAAAATCAAATAAAATCTGCATCACCAGTAAAGAAGAACAAAAATGCGTAAGTTATTGCATATGAAACCGACTGGATCCAAAAACAGAATATTGCGGAGAAGCGAAAATGGGAAAAACCTCCTGAAATAAATCCAGAGAAAACAGTTAAAAATAATGAAACCAGCCCTAAAATGAACACTGAAAATCCAAGGAAGCAGAAGCCTCATACAGTTATATTGTGCAACATTAAAAACCACTCCTACATGGTCAAGATGTTAAAAGAAGAAAAAATAAACGTTAGGGTCAACATGGTGAATAATGACCAATTAAAAATAAATGTGAAAAATGAAAATGAATACAGATTACTTACTAAAGATATAAATAAGGCTAGACTGGTGTGGCACACGTATAAACTGACAAGGCCAGTTAAAGTTACGGCTAGAAATCTCCATCCATCGTCTGAGCCAGAGGATATAAAAAAAGAGGTCATCAGCAAAGGCTTTAAATGTCTAGATGTTGTAAATAAAATCAACAGGAAAAAAGAAAATGGAAAATATATTTCAGCAAAACTTCCGCTTTTTATATTATCTTTTGACAATTTGGAAGAGATAACCAAGATCTATAAAATAGAATACTTGCAGCACATGAGAGTAAAAATGGGAGCTTTTATAGAAGCAGCAAAACCATTCCGCAATGCAAGATATACCAGAGATTTGGGCACACACAAAAGTTTTTCCAAAGAGAGGCTAGATGTGTTAAATGTGCTGGTAATCATACGACAGCAGAGTACAACAAGAAGGATAATTTTCAGTTCAAATGTGCGAATTGCAATGAGGCACACCCTGCTAGCTATCGAGGTTGTTTAGTTGCAAAAGAATTACAAAAAATAAGATTAAAAAAGACTAAAACCAAACAAAATCAAGTTGAATTTAATGAGAAAAGAGTTCCAAAAATAGCCAGAATAACGACACCTAGCAAGGGAAAATCGTATTCACAAGCGCTTCATAGCAAAACCACACAAAACAGGAAAAATAAGGAACCTGAGAATAAAACCCCACAAATAAAAAAAACTGACGCAGACATTATGCAAATGATGCATAGAAAATTCATTAGAATTGATGAGATCTGTAAAAGATTATTAAAAATAGAAAATGGATACACTGAGGTGTATACGGGGACACCAAAGAAATTAAGAAAAGTGTACCTAAATGAGGTACGTATGGTAATAAGAATATGGTAATAAGAAACAAGAATTGAAGATTTTTTTCAAAACGAGAAATATAGATATTTGTTTGCTGTCGGAGGCTCGTTTGACATATAATACGGGCTTTAAAATAAAAGGCTATGATTGCTATAAAGCGGTACATCCCAGCAATCAGCCAAGAGGAGGTAGTGCAATAATAAAAAAAGGAAGCATAGAACATGATGAAGAATTCAAGATAGAAACAGCAGAAATTCAGCTTATCTCGATAAAAATTAAATCGACTAGAAAGGACTTTAGTGTTGGTGCTGTATACTGTCCAACAAATTGCAGCTTTAAGAAAAATACTTTTAAAGATCTTCTGTACACACATGGACATAGATATTTATTAGGAGGTCATTATAATGCCAAACATAAAGATTGGGATTCTAGAATCACCTCAATTAGAGGAAAGAGGTAAGAAAAGCTATTCAAGAACTAGGTTCACTCCACCGGCACTCCTGCCTTTTGGCCTACTGAGACTAACAAGATTCCTGATGTTATTGACTTTTTTATAACCAAAAAACTATCAGAAAACATTCTATTCCTTGAAGATAATTATGATTTTATTTCAGATAACTCTACTGTAATATTAAAACTAAGTGAAAAAATAACTAAAACATTATTTAAGCTCAGTTTGACAAATAGCACTGCAGATTGGGCGAGCTTTAAATACGAAATAATAAACAATATTGACGTAACTATTAATATGAAATCAAGAGAACAATTAGATCTGGAGTTAGGATTTATTAAAATCGTAAAAAAAGCTGCATGGAATAATACAAAAATGTCAAAGTACAAACCGACAGAAAATAGCTATTCTCTGGAAATAACTGATTTAGTAGGTGAAGAGAGAAGGGCCAGACGTAAACAGCAACGTTCGCGTCACCTTGATGATAAAACTGTTTTAAACAGATTTACTTAAAAGAAAAATTCAAAAATTTAAATCGGCAACATACGAAAATTATATAAAGAACTTGTCAGCTACGAAGGAAGCGAGCGGCAAAGAGCAAAAAGAGACCAATTAAGCATGCTTCGCCACTAATGAAAGCAAATGGCAGTTTGGCGAGGAGCAATATAGAGAAGGCCGAATTGTTGGCTGATCACTTGGAAAGCATATTCACCCCAAACGGAATAACTTCAGATGTAAGTTTGGTAGAATGAATCGCAAATGAAGCAGGAAGCATAGCACCGCTTACTTAATTACAAATTTCGGAAGAGAGAAGATTCCTAAAGTTTAAAAAATGGCCAGATTTTAATCTTATTGCTGCGGAAGTACTGAGACAGCTACCAGACGAAGCATTGGAACATTTGACGAAAATCATGAATGCAGCTATGGATTTTGGGCATGCTTGGAAAGTCGCGGAGGTAATTATAGTGCCCAAACCCGAGAAATCCTTGAGGGAAACAAAGCCTTACATTCCCCTTTCACTGCTACCAATGATATCTAAGCTTTTTTACAAGCTGCTATTAAGGAGATTGAAGCCAGTAATAGAAAATAGGGGTCTAATACCGAACCATCAATATGCTTTCAGAAGAAACTATTCTACAATAGACCAGGTCCGTAGAACAACGAATATTATAGAAAAAAGCTTGGAAAATAAAGAAATCTGCTCTTCTATATTTCTAGACGTAGCAGTGGCATTCGACAAGGTGTGGTGCAAAGGCCTTATATTTAAGTTAGGACAAATGATACCGTCACCATTTGTAGCACTTTTAGAATCTTACTTGGCTGATAGATTATTTAGAATGAAACAAGATGCTGAATACTCCACGTTAAGAGAAATAAAGGCAGGTGTGCCTCAAGGCAGTATATTGGCCCAACGTTATACTTGCTTTACACGAGTGATTTGCCACAAATAGAACATGCTACGGTAGCCACTTTTGCTGACGATACTGCAATATTAGTAGTAGGAGCGAACATTGACAATTCGACAAAAAAATTCCAGGAGGCAAGTAAAAAAATAAGCCAGTGGGTTAGAGATTGGAAAATGAAGTTGAATGAAGCAAAATCGGTTCACATAAACTTCACCATTCGGAAAATACTGAATCCACAACAAATTAACTTAAATGGAACGAACATAGCAATCCATAAGTCAGCAAAATACCTAGAAATGACTTTAGATGTCAAGCTAAAGTGGAAAGAGCATATAAAGAAATAAATATAGAGAATTTTATTGGCTCCTAGGTCGTAAGCCCAATTTGCCAATTGATAATAAGATATTAATTTATAGCTAAATCATTAAACCATTATGGATATACGGCATTCAACTAAGGGGTTGTGCCAAGAAGACTCACATTAACAAAATTCAAACATTCCGGAATAAAGTTCTACGGGGTATGGTAAATGCGCCATGGTATATACGTAACAGTGATATCCACAGGGACTTAGGAATTCGTTTGCTTGTGGATGAAATTAGGAGTTGTGCTACAAAGCATAGGGCCCGTCTAGAACAGCATGTAAATATGGAAGCAGCTCGGCTGCTAGGACAATGGCGGTATGACAGAAAGACTTAAACGAACAAGACCTTTCGATTAACACGAAATACCAGTTTCCTTATGGAAGGTATTTAATTCCTGTAGGGAAAAACCAAGTTAGCGCGGAGGTAATAGTTGGCCTGTAGGACAAGTTTTATCCGTTCAAGGTTTAGGTGATTTTTAAGGGTAGGAGTCACGCTCCCCCACTGTCGGAAGAAAAAGGCAGATAGCGCCTTTCGAGAAATTTTCACCTAGAAGAAAAAAAAATACAAAGTATTGTTGTTTTATTTAATTTTTTAAAGTATGTACATACATATTATGTGTAGTATTTTGGAAAATCCGATTAAAATTAATTAGAAAAAAAAATCGATTGCATAAGTACTGGATACAGGTGCCTGTTAATAATAAAAACGTACATACAATGTTTCTATCACGTAGGATGGATTGTTCTTGCAAGCGGTTGAGATGCACGTATAGCTTTCTACTAAATTTCTAAATAATTTTTTTTTATACCAATTTTTTTATCAAATTTTGAAAGTATGTAATTTTTTTTTGTCATATGTATTTTCACATATCACTTTGATACGCTTTGATATCTTTTTACTAATTTGTTACAATTTTAAGTATACATATTTTTAGGGGGAAATTTATGGTTTTAAAAAGTATTATTCTTTATTAAAAGTATTGTTAAAAATTGCTTCGTTACTGGACTTAAATTAAATTACTTTTATATTGAGGTTCATTTATAAACTTTTGTTTAATTTATAAACAAGTGGGATGTACTTATTTTTTTTCATTTTAAACAATGGGCCTGATAAATCTATGATAGTGCTTGAACATATTTGATATATTTTACTTCAAATCGCCCATGTCCCAGTCAAAGGTTATTATAATTTATTAGTATTTTAATGTTCTGCGCCTTATACTGTTAGCTAATTTAAGAAATATTATTATTCGTATTAACCTTTATAAAAAATAATATTGTGCTTTAATATAAAAGCTATCTACCGAAGCATGAAGAGTCTCATTTAGATATCAAATAGACGTTTGTACAAAATATGGAATTCTTTGTGGGGATTGAAATGTCGCCCATTGAAGCTTTTGAACAGGTTCTTTTTTGTTTAAGAAAATGTAATATCTTTATATGAATATTTACCTCTTACTAAAAGTAAAACAAGTTTTAAAGAGTTCCTTATATTTTAAATAATTTCAAACTATATGAATTATCACAATTTATTATTTTATATTATTAATAAACAAAAGATTGGCTAAACTAAATTTTAATATTTTCTATACTTTCTCGAATTTCTTCGTATTTAACTATGTTGTAATATGGCGTGGGGTTGTAGTCAAAAATTTCAAAATCGTATCTAAAAGAAGAAATACATAAGAAGATATAATATAAATTACAAAAATGAACCATTAGATAAACTCACTTGTAATATTCATAAAGACCATCTAATTGGGATCTCGTTAATTGCGAATAAAATTTTTGAAGCAATTCCAACGTATTTCTGCCCTTTCCAGAATTTTTCCATTCTGGCATTATAACATGTTGTAAGCCTGCATTTTCAATTAAATATAACTGATCTTCTTGAAGACTTTCAAATTTTATAATTATATCTTTATTTATTAGGCAAGGCGTGCAAAATTTACTTGCTGGAACTAAATGCATATCAATTGAATTATGACGTTTCACTTCATCTAAAAGCCAGCTAACGAACTCTGAAAACGTTGGATACTTTGGCAAACGTCGATCTGCCTGTTTCTGTAAATAAAATTTTGAAATTTTATTCAAGTACAGTCATACTTGCGAAAAGCTGGCTCAATTTTTATCTTCACATAAATTTAAAGTACATAAATATTTTCCGTTTAAATGCGTCCAGTTTAATTTTGCTTTTCATTTTATTGTATCAAAATTTTAGTGCCCTTAATCAAAAAGACATATAAATTTTCCTGGTTAAATAAAAAATCTGATGTGGTCAGTACATAACCCACCGCAATGTGTATTGTCTAGTTAAGTGAAAATGTTTCAGAATATTATAAAAATGCCTGTTTTTTTTTCACTTTTTAGGGCATTAGCAAGCTAATAGTTAACATTCCTAGAAAAAATTTAATGTGGCTCTTAGTAGAGTTTCGCTTTGTGCTACTCGAATTCCCTGAAATGCTCACCAGTAAGTTTCGGCAACAACCAGAAATCAAATTTCAAGAAACTCCATGAATTCAATCCATGGATGTCGTAAGAAATGTCAAATCGGCCCTCAGATCAGTTTCCGAGCCCTGATCTTTCCAAAAATTTTTATATTCATTGTTTTAAATTTATATATTCATTAGTTGCTGACGCCTGATTTCTTCAAAAAGTTAGGAGTTTTAGCGGACGGTCGAGCAAAGCTTATATATGATATTTCAAGTAAATCTGTTGAATAAGTAAAACAGGCCCGCCGAATAAGTAAAAGGGCAGTTCCCGAAGCCTGGTATATCCCAAAAGTTGATCAATCCGTGCCATAGACCATATAAACTTACATATAAAATTTCATCTAAATCGGTTTAGCGGAACTTGAGATAAACGCGTGCGCACACAGACCGGCAGACCAACAAGTTGCTAAAAATAGTTTATTTACACTTCCTTACTATAAAGAAGTGCATTCCCACCGAAAACTCGATATGCAAAATTTGTTGCCTTCACATAACATACATACCTATTGTATACCCGGTTGGTAAGAATATTATGTGTATTTTGAATTGTGAATGAATTCGTATCGATTATATGTTTTTATTAAAAAAATTTTTTTAGAATTGGACAGAAAAATCAAGAGTAAAATGTTTTCGATTTTAAGAATTTGACTAATGTTGCAATAAATAAAAAAAGTTAATTATTTTGGAAAACAAAACATACGTACATATGTCTAGAAACTTTAGTATTCTGAGTTGCACGTTTAAAAGATCATAGAATCAATCAATAATCTCTAAAAAATTAAAATAATATAATTCATACTTAGTTAAATTAACATGTTTTTAATTTTGGTTGTATTTTATTTCAAATCAGGTGACGCATTTATCCAGCGGATACTATTAATATTATTATTATTATTATTATTATTATTATTATTATTATTATTATTATTATTATTATTATTATTATTATTATTATTATTATTATTATTATTATTATTATTATTATTATTATTATTATTATTATTATTATTATTATTATTATTATTATTATTATTATTATTATTATTATTATTATTATTATTATTATTATTATTATTATTATTATTATTATTATTATTGTTATTATTAATATATTATTATTATCATTATTATTATTATTATTATTATTATTATTATTATTATTATTATTATTATTATTATTATTATTATTATGAATATTTCATCCACAGACATTATCTCCGGATTTCCGGCCGCTTTACAACTTTGCTATAATATAGTGTAAATTACCTTGATTATATGCAAACATATTTTAAAAAGCAATTTCAACAGTCATCTAATATTTTATAATTATATATGTACATCATGTATACACAAATCTGTAAAAGATTCTATCCCCGATTCACTTTACAAAAAAACGTCTTCTCAAATATGCTCACGTTGATATAATTTTTTTATAAAAATGTTTTAAAGGACGTTTCATTTGGTAAGTCCCGTAATAAATTTTTGCTACTCGTACTGACTCGTTTTTTAAAACCCACAGGTGACCAAATCCATGATATTTCATTTAAAAATGGAAAACTCGATTATTATTTCTATGAGGCATTATTTAACAGTTTTAACTTTTTGTAAGGTTTCAAAAATGGTCAAGATGTTAAAAGAAGAAAAAATAAACGTTAGGGTCAACATGGTGAATAATGACCAATTAAAAATAAATGTGAAAAATGAAAATGAATACAGATTACTTACTAAAGATATAAATAAGGCTAGACTGGTGTGGCACACGTATAAACTGACAAGGCCAGTTAAAGTTACGGCTAGAAATCTCCATCCATCGTCTGAGCCAGAGGATATAAAAAAAGAGGTCATCAGCAAAGGCTTTAAATGTCTAGATGTTGTAAATAAAATCAACAGGAAAAAAGAAAATGGAAAATATATTTCAGCAAAACTTCCGCTTTTTATATTATCTTTTGACAATTTGGAAGAGATAACCAAGATCTATAAAATAGAATACTTGCAGCACATGAGAGTAAAAATGGGAGCTTTTATAGAAGCAGCAAAACCATTCCGCAATGCAAGATATACCAGAGATTTGGGCACACACAAAAGTTTTTCCAAAGAGAGGCTAGATGTGTTAAATGTGCTGGTAATCATACGACAGCAGAGTACAACAAGAAGGATAATTTTCAGTTCAAATGTGCGAATTGCAATGAGGCACACCCTGCTAGCTATCGAGGTTGTTTGGTTGCAAAAGAATTACAAAAAATAAGATTAAAAAAGACTAAAACCAAACAAAATCAAGTTGAATTTAATGAGAAAAGAGTTCCAAAAATAGCCAGAATAACGACACCTAGCAAGGGAAAATCGTATTCACAAGCGCTTCATAGCAAAACCACACAAAACAGGAAAAATAAGGAACCTGAGAATAAAACCCCACAAATAAAAAAAACTGACGCAGACATTATGCAAATGATGCATAGAAAATTCATTAGAATTGATGAGATCTGTAAAAGATTATTAAAAATAGAAAATGGATACACTGAGGTGTATACGGGGACACCAAAGAAATTAAGAAAAGTGTACCTAAATGAGGTACGTATGGTAATAAGAATATGGTAATAAGAAACAAGAATTGAAGATTTTTTTCAAAACGAGAAATATAGATATTTGTTTGCTGTCGGAGGCTCGTTTGACATATAATATGGGCTTTAAAATAAAAGGCTATGATTGCTATAAAGCGGTACATCCCAGCAATCAGCCAAGAGGAGGTAGTGCAATAATAAAAAAAGGAAGCATAGAACATGATGAAGAATTCAAGATAGAAACAGCAGAAATTCAGCTTATCTCGATAAAAATTAAATCGACTAGAAAGGACTTTAGTGTTGGTGCTGTATACTGTCCAACAAATTGCAGCTTTAAGAAAAATACTTTTAAAGATCTTCTGTACACACATGGACATAGATATTTATTAGGAGGTCATTATAATGCCAAACATAAAGATTGGGATTCTAGAATCACCTCAATTAGAGGAAAGAGGTAAGAAAAGCTATTCAAGAACTAGGTTCACTCCACCGGCACTCCTGCCTTTTGGCCTACTGAGACTAACAAGATTCCTGATGTTATTGACTTTTTTATAACCAAAAAACTATCAGAAAACATTCTATTCCTTGAAGATAATTATGATTTTATTTCAGATAACTCTACTGTAATATTAAAACTAAGTGAAAAAATAACTAAAACATTATTTAAGCTCAGTTTGACAAATAGCACTGCAGATTGGGCGAGCTTTAAATACGAAATAATAAACAATATTGACGTAACTATTAATATGAAATCAAGAGAACAATTAGATCTGGAGTTAGGATTTATTAAAATCGTAAAAAAAGCTGCATGGAATAATACAAAAATGTCAAAGTACAAACCGACAGAAAATAGCTATTCTAGGGAAATAACTGATTTAGTAGGTGAAGAGAGAAGGGCCAGACGTAAACAGCAACGTTCGCGTCACCTTGATGATAAAACTGTTTTAAACAGATTTACTTAAAAGAAAAATTCAAAAATTTAAATCGGCAACATACGAAAATTATATAAAGAACTTGTCAGCTACGAAGGAAGCGAGCGGCAAAGAGCAAAAGAGACCAATTAAGCATGCTTCGCCACTAATGAAAGCAAATGGCAGTTTGGCATATTCACCCCAAACGGAATAACTTCAGATGTAAGTTTGGTAGAATGAATCGCAAATGAAGCAGGAAGCATAGCACCGCTTACTTAATTACAAATTTCGGAAGAGAGAAGATTCCTAAAGTTTAAAAAATGGCCAGATTTTAATCTTATTGCTGCGGAAGTACTGAGACAGCTACCAGACGAAGCATTGGAACATTTGACGAAAATCATGAATGCAGCTATGGATTTTGGGCATGCTTGGAAAGTCGCGGAGGTAATTATAGTGCCCAAACCCGAGAAATCCTTGAGGGAAACAAAGCCTTACATTCCCCTTTCACTGCTACCAATGATATCTAAGCTTTTTTACAAGCTGCTATTAAGGAGATTGAAGCCAGTAATAGAAAATAGGAGTCTAATACCGAACCATCAATATGCTTTTAGAAGAAACTATTCTACAATAGACCAGGTCCGTAGAACAACGAATATTATAGAAAAAAGCTTGGAAAATAAAGAAATCTGCTCTTCTATATTTCTAGACGTAGCAGTGGCATTCGACAAGGTGTGGTGCAAAGGCCTTATATTTAAGTTAGGACAAATGATACCGTCACCATTTGTAGCACTTTTAGAATCTTACTTGGCTGATAGATTATTTAGAATGAAACAAGATGCTGAATACTCCACGTTAAGAGAAATAAAGGCAGGTGTGCCTCAAGGCAGTATATTGGCCCAACGTTATACTTGCTTTACACGAGTGATTTGCCACAAATAGAACATGCTACGGTAGCCACTTTTGCTGACGATACTGCAATATTAGTAGTAGGAGCGAACATTGACAATTCGACAAAAAAATTCCAGGAGGCAAGTAAAAAAATAAGCCAGTGGGTTAGAGATTGGAAAATGAAGTTGAATGAAGCAAAATCGGTTCACATAAACTTCACCATTCGGAAAATACTGAATCCACAACAAATTAACTTAAATGGAACGAACATAGCAATCCATAAGTCAGCAAAATACCTAGAAATGACTTTAGATGTCAAGCTAAAGTGGAAAGAGCATATAAAGAAATAAATATAGAGAATTTTATTGGCTCCTAGGTCGTAAGCCCAATTTGCCAATTGATAATAAGATATTAATTTATAGCCAAATCATTAAACCATTATGGATATACGGCATTCAACTAAGGGGTTGTGCCAAGAAGACTCACATTAACAAAATTCAAACATTCCGGAATAAAGTTCTACGGGGTATGGTAAATGCGCCATGGTATATACGTAACAGTGATATCCACAGGGACTTAGGAAATCGTTTGGTTGTGGATGAAATTAGGAGTTGTGCTACAAAGCATAGGGCCCGTCTAGAACAGCATGTAAATATGGAAGCAGCTCGGCTGCTAGGACAATGGCGGTATGACAGAAAGACTTAAACGAACAAGACCTTTCGATTAACACGAAATACCAGTTTCCTTATGGAAGGTATTTAATTCCTGTAGGGAAAAACCAAGTTAGCGAGGAGGTAATAGTTGGCCTGTAGGACAAGTTTTATCCGTTCAAGGTTTAGTTGATTTTTAAGGGTAGGAGTCACGCTCCCCCACTGTCGGAAGAAAAAGGCAGATAGCGCCTTTCGGGAAATTTTCACCTAGAAGAAAAAAAAAATACAAAGTATTGTTGTTTTATTTAATTTTTTAAAGTATGTACATACATATTATGTGTAGTATTTTGGAAAATCCGATTAAAATTAATTAGAAAAAAAAATCGATTGCATAAGTACTGGATACAGGTGCCTGTTAATAATAAAAACGTACATACAATGTTTCTATCACGTAAGATGGATTGTTCTTGCAAGCGGTTGAGATGCACGTATAGCTTTCTACTAAATTTCTAAATAATTTTTTTTTATACCAATTTTTTTATCAAATTTTGAAAGTATGTAATTTTTTTTTGTCATATGTATTTTCACATATCACTTTGATACGCTTTGATATCTTTTTACAAATTTGTTACAATTTTAAGTATACATATTTTTAGGGGGAAATTTATGGTTTTAAAAAGTATTATTCTTTATTAAAAGTATTGTTAAAAATTGCTTCGTTACTAGACTTAAATTAAATTACTTTTATATTGAGGTTCATTTATAAACTTTTGTTTAATTTATAAACAAGTGGGATGTACTTATTTTTTTTCATTTTAAACAATGGGCCTGATAAATCTATGATAGTGCTTGAACATATTTGATATATTTTACTTCAAATCGCCCATGTCCCAGTCAAAGGTTATTATAATTTATTAGTATTTTAATGTTCTGCGCCTTATACTGTTAGCTAATTTAAGAAATATTATTATTCGTATTAACCTTTATAAAAAATAATATTGTGCTTTAATATAAAAGCTATCTACCGAAGCATGAAGAGTCTCATTTAGATATCAAATAGACGTTTGTACAAAATATGGAATTCTTTGTGGGGATTGAAATGTCGCCCATTGAAGCTTTTGAACAGGTTCTTTTTTGTTTAAGAAAATATAATATCTTTATATGAATATTTACCTCTTACTAAAAGTAAAACAAGTTTTAAACAGTTCCTTATATTTTAAATAATTTCAAACTATATGAATTATCACAATTTATTATTTTATATTATTAATAAACAAAAGATTGGCTAAACTAAATTTTAATATTTTCTATACTTTCTCGAATTTCTTCGTATTTAACTATGTTGTAATATGGCGTGGGGTTGTAGTCAAAAATTTCAAAATCGTATCTAAAAGAAGAAATACATAAGAAGATATAATATAAATTACAAAAATGAACCATTAGATAAACTCACTTGTAATATTCATAAAGACCATCTAATTGGGATCTCGTTAATTGCGAATAAAATTTTTGAAGCAATTCCAACGTATTTCTGCCCTTTCCAGAATTTTTCCATTCTGGCATTATAACATGTTGTAAGCCTGCATTTTCAATTAAATATAACTGATCTTCTTGAAGACTTTCAAATTTTATAATTATATCTATATTTATTAGGCAAGGCGTGCAAAATTTACTTGCTGGAACTAAATGCATATCAATTGAATTATGACGTTTCACTTCATCTAAAAGCCAGCTAACGAACTCTGAAAACGTTGGATACTTTGGCAAACGTCGATCTGCCTGTTTCTGTAAATAAAATTTTGAAATTTTATTCAAGTACAGTCATACTTGCGAAAAGCTGGCTCAATTTTTATCTTCACAGAAATTTAAAGTACATAAATATTTTCCGTTTAAATGCGTCCAGTTTAATTTTGCTTTTCATTTTATTGTATCAAAATTTTAGTGCCCTTAATCAAAAAGACATATAAATTTTCCTGGTTAAATAAAAAATCTGATGTGGTCAGTACATAACCCACCGCAATGTGTATTGTCTAGTTAAGTGAAAATGTTTCAGAATATTATAAAAATGCCTGTTTTTTTTCACTTTTTAGGGCATTAGCAAGCTAATAGTTAACATTCCTAGAAAAAATTTAATGTGGCTCTTAGTAGAGTTTCGCTTTGTGCTACTCGAATTCCCTGAAATGCTCACCAGTAAGTTTCGGCAACAACCAGAAATCAAATTTCAAGAAACTCCATGAATTCAATCCATGGATGTCGTAAGAAATGTCAAATCGGCCCTCAGATCAGTTTCCGAGCCCTGATCTTTCCAAAAATTTTTATATTCATTGTTTTAAATTTATATATTCATTGTTTTAAACTTATATTTATATATTCATTGTTGTTTAAAATTTTTATATTCATTGTTTTAGTACGAAGAATTTAAATATTAAATTTCAATGAAATCGGTCAATTATTTCTCTTTATATACGCAAAAATGTATATTTGACCCATAGCAAACATCCAGTTGCTGACGCCTGATCTCTTCAAAAAGTTAGGAGTTTTAGCGGACGGTCGAGCAAAGCTTATATATGATATTTCAAGTCAATCTGTTGAATAAGTAAAACAGGCCCGCCGAATAAGTAAAAGGGCAGTTCCCGAAGCCTGGTATATCCCAAAAGTTGATCAATCCGTGCCATAGACGATATAAACTTACATATAAAATTTCATCTAAATCGGTTTAGCGGAACTTGAGATAAACGCGTGCGCACACAGACCGACAGACCGACAAGTTGCTAAAAATAGTTTACTTACACTTCCTTACTATAAAGAAGTGCATTCCCACCGAAAACTCGATATGCAAAATTTGTTGCCATCACATAACATACATACCTATTGTATACACAATGCGGTCGGTAAGAATATTATGTGTATTTTGAATTGTGAATGAATTCGTATCGATTATATGTTTTTATTAAAAAAATTTTTTTAGAATTGGACAGAAAAATCAAGAGTAAAATGTTTTCGATTTTAAGAATTTGACTAATGTTGCAATAAATAAAAAAAGTTAATTATTTTGGAAAACAAAACATACGTACATATGTCTAGAAACTTTAGTATTCTGAGTTGCACGTTTAAAAGATCATAGAATCAATCAATAATCTCTAAAAAATTAAAATAATATAATTCATACTTAGTTAAATTAACATGTTTTTAATTTTGGTTGTATTTTATTTCAAATCAGGTGACGCATTTATCCAGCGGATACTATTAATATTATTATTATTATTATTATTATTATTATTATTATTATTATTATTGTTATTATTAATATATTATTATTATCATTATTATTATTATTATTATTATTATTATTATTATTATTATTATTATTATTATTATTATTATTATTATTATGAATATTTCATCCACAGACATTATCTCCGGATTTCCGGCCGCTTTACAACTTTGCTATAATATAGTGTAAATTACCTTGATTATATGCAAACATATTTTAAAAAGCAATTTGAATAGTCATCTAATATTTTATAATTATATATGTACATCATGTATACACAAATCTGTAAAAGATTCTATCCCCGATTCACTTTACAAAAAAACGTCTTCTCAAATATGCTCACGTTGATATAATTTTTTTATAAAAATGTTTTAAAGGACGTTTCATTTGGTAAGTCCCGTAATAAATTTTTGCTACTCGTACTGACTCGTTTTTTAAAACTCACAGGTGACCAAATCCATGATATTTCATTTAAAAATGGAAAACTCGATTATTATTTCTATGAGGCATTATTTAACAGTTTTAACTTTTTGTAAGGTTTCAAAAAAAGAAGATTCAACAACCTTTTAGAAGAAATTTTTTCTTGAGTTAAAAACAAAATATATATTATTGATGATCTTTCTAAAAATTCGAAATAGAAAGTCACTATGAAGCACATATGATATATTCCGTATATAATATTTGTAGAATAGAAAGTTAAAAGATTTCCTCAGCTAGGCTCAAGAAATTGAATTTGATGAAACCGATATTCAACTATTTTATATTGCATACCGTAACACTTGCGTACATAAAGTGATACGTTTTATTGCATATTTGACCCGTAAACAAGTTTTGCAATCCTTATTAACTTCTTCATAGGCGTCACCATAAATATTGGCGAAAATCATTAACAAGTCGAGATACTTCACGGTTATTTTAGTAAATTAACTAAGCGATGTTAAAGCGTTGTTGAGTTACTATTATCTTTCTTTAATAAAACTTTAACCCTTACAAAGCAAAAGTGACCATGACAACCGGTTTGATATCTCACGTTCCGTTATACCAATTTCGGAGCAAGATATATATTGAAAAACACAGAAATAAAATAAAAGGAAACTTTTATTTTATTTCTGTAAGAGTAATATATTTAATTAACATATTTACTTACATATTTTCTGTAGTTTCTTACAATTTTATTTCCTAATTTATCATGAAATGAATGTGGAATAGCAAAAACAAATTTATCTCTATAAGCACTTAATAGCCTTTCAAAAGGATGTCTGGCAATCATAAAAGTAATTGAGTCATTTTGTGCCTCCTGAAGCTGAAAATAATAACAAAAAGAGTTTTGTTAAAATATGAACATATGTAAGTATGTATACTAAGCTTCGCAACTTTATTATTTAAATAGCGCTTGCTCTTATTATAAATTTGCACACTTTTATGTACGTTAATAGCCCGATTTCATTTATGGCGAAATTACGTGCGCTGAGATCGAGCATAATTAATAAAATGTAATTGTTAAAATTAGTCCAAACTTTATAACAATGTTAAGAAGTATTGCATTTTCTGTAATGTTATAATTTCAAGAGCAAATTTACAATTACATATGTATGTGTTTGTATATGTTTAAGAGTATTTTATTATATGATTCAATCCTTCGTGCATCTTTTTAGCACTTTTCCAACAAATTTGTGGAGAAAAGTGCTTATTAGTTTCATTCTGTCCATCCGTCTGTCTGTCCGTGTGTCTGCTTACAAAACTTCTACACCCTTGAAGATAGAAAGCTGAAATTTTATATGAATATCCTTAATTCCGTAAATTCTTATTCCTTACTTCTAAAAACTTATTTCCGCAGAAGAAAACTTTTACCTATCTCTCCGCTTCTAAATGTTTTACTCCCTCCCCTGCCCCCATAAACATAAAAATGCTACTTTTTAACTATTTATTGCAGTGAAACCATAAGCATTATTCATATTTTGCAAGCGCATAAAGGCAGTGGATTGCTTCTCCTATCGCGGCATACTATAGCTTAACTTCAAAAAAGGACCGTTCAAATATACCGTTATCTAAAGTTCGTTTTTTCCAAATTTTTGATGTCGGTTTTCTTCTAGACCACAGGTTGGGGATGCTTGAAACTTTAGCAGGTTTTGGACACTAAGAAATAATTCATTTCTTCAGAAGAAAATTTTTTCCATTTCCACCCCCTCTCAAATTATTGCATCTTGAAATTTGTAAAATTTGAAATTTTGACGCTTTATATTTCCAAAACCGCAAGCTTTTTCAAATTTCTATAAGCGCTAAAAGTTAACAAAAAATTCCATGACATTAAAAAATATAATTATTTTTCTTAACTCACGCAATTAGCCCTTAAAATCGAGCCCCCTCTTTAAATTAATTTTTGCTTTATTTCAAAGACTGCATAAATCGTTTGTCCTAAATATATGCAATCCTAGAAATATTTTCGTATATGAATGAAAATAATTTTAATAGCGTTGTAGGTATACATAGGCTGTATTTAGACTGTTAAAGAGAAAATGGCTACAATACAAACTATTAGTTTGACCCAACTTTATTTAAATTTGATGCAACAATTACAAGTGTATATAAATGTAAAGGATTTTTACATGGTGTTCTGAAAGACGATAGTTGTGTAGGAAATGTTTTAATTAAAAATACAATGTTGTTTAAAATTATGAACATATCAAACAATATTTCATTTCTTTCCAAAGAAGAAAAGAGAAGACATGAATTACGCCTTCTATCAAAAAAAAAAACATTACTTTATTTTATTAGGTTCTACCTTAATTATCCAGCAATTAAAATAAAATGAAATAGATATTTAAGTGGTTTTCATAATGAAATATGCCTGGATCTAATAATACATGGCAAATAATAATTTTTGAAGCTAACAAAAAATAGGTTGTTTTTTTGTTTTTGTTTTTTACAACATGAAAGGTGTTGCCAGAAACGGTTTGAAAATATGGTTAGGAAATATGAATATAGTTAGAAATTTATGTTATTCATTTTTTCAGTGAAAAATTTATTGCAGAAAACGCTTAACATATGTATGTTGTAAAATCTAATTTTTACATACACGGATGTAAAATTTTATATATTCATATTTACAAAACGAAAATTTAAATACTAACTTAAAATAGCCAACAATTTGGTTGCAATGAACACCAAGCACTTTCGTTTGCGTTATATGGGTGTGTACTTTATGTTGGCTTCAATATATATATATATAGCTACTTCTGAGGTGTAGAAAAGCATGGGCGCTTCTAGAAGGGGTAGAGACAGGAAACAAAAGGCATTAGGTGGGGTTTTGCGAGTAAGATCCCAGAAAAATCTGACATCGGAACTGTTTATCCTCGAAAGAGCCCTATTTTAAGATTTTCTGTAAAAATTTTTGTATAACGAGAGCACTCTTTTCTTTTCTTTATATTACTTTAATTACTTTATATTATCAGAAACACAAACCGATAAACCAAATAAATAAGCTTAAATAAATGTCAGCTTTAATCAAAGGCATCAGATATTTTGTGGCATCTAAATATTATTATACATACTAATATACACACACAATTTATGTACGAATGTACTTAAAATTTCACTTCTTATTGTTCGAACAAAAAACTTTAAAATAAACTGAATTCTAATACACGCATATATTTGAATAAAACTATTATTTTATTTATGTCTAAACTTTTTCTTTATTTAAAAAATTTATTTCTGTGTGTTTACCCTCATAACAATATTTATCTGTTATATATCACAATAAATAAAAAAAAAATTTAAACATAATAAAAAAAATTTGAGAAATAATCCAAAAAAAGAAAAAAACGAGAATATTCCGGCCTTCTGGTTATCATTCTACCACGCAACCCACTATGCCACGCAATACCTTGAATTTGCATTTCTAATTCTTTATTTTATTCATATTTCGTATAACTCTTAAAAAACCATTCTATTTTACTTTATACATTTATAGCTACGTCCGAGGTGTAAGGATGTACGAGGTGTAAGGATAACTGCAGAACAGATGGATGACGTAATCAAAGGAACGAGTTAAAGGCAGAAAAATTCATTAAAAAAATTTTTCTCCTCGAACTGGACTCGAACCAGTGACCTACCCTTTTCTACGCGGACGCTCTACCAACTGAGTTAGAGAGGCATGAAGAAATTGCCGACGAAATGTTCTCTACATTGCTTATACTGTAATTCACATGATTACTAAGTATTTGTTTTGTCTACATTGATTGCTTTTTTAATTATTTAATCTGTTGAATATTTTCTTCAAAATGTTCAAAAATGTAAACCAGGCCCGCTAAAAAGTGCAGTTCCCGAGGGCTGATATATTCCAAGAGTTGATCAATCCGTGCTACTGTCGAAATAAACTTACATATAAAATTTCATCAAAATCGGTTCAGCCGAACTTGAGATACACGCGTGCACACAGACCGATATTGGTATACACATCTCAATATCAAACTATGTATTTGAATTGAATGTTTTCCATTATCTAAGAATATTGTTCTCATTCTCTTTTGCTCTTTTCTTTCTATTTTTATTCTACATTTTTGTTTTTTTTGTTCTTGTTTTCTACAAATGCAATAGTATACAGAAAAAGTAATATATTAATAATAATGTGTTTGTTTCATAGACTCCTATAATGTATAATAATGTAATATAAAGATGTCTATGGTTTGTTTGCTGGATGAAAGAACGCCAACTCAGTAAAAATAAAATTTTGCATTAATGTCTTTATATCTAACAAGTCCCAATGCTCAGAGAGAAACTTGAAAGCACACCTTATTTTATATGGCCTTTTTTAAATCGAAGTGGCTATTTTTTGAGAAGAAATATTAAAATAAATTCACACTTATTATAAAGCAGGTAAAATTTAGAACATATATTTGAAAAATCAAAAAAATATATTAATATTTTCATTGATAATTATTTTAAAATTTAAAAAAAAGCGGAAAAACAACAAACACAACCTTCGCCTTCAACGTTTTATTTGTTACTGAAAGCATTTCATTATTTTTTAAGTGAACAGCTTTTTTTTCTCATAGGGTAAGTTAACGCAAGATATGGGAAGTACCTGTGGTGTCAAGTTGAAAATATAATTAATGAAAGATAATTCTTAAATATTGATATAAATACATAGTAAAGAAAAAATTTGAAGAGGGAATTAGAAAATAATATCTAAAATACAATCAAATATTATTTGTTAAATACAAATTTTATATAAACTTCAAAATTTTACCTCTATTTTTATTTGAAAAAATATTAAAAACTTACTATAATTTATATCAATTACCTAAGAAAAAAAAATATTTAAAATGTTTGGAAAAAACAATCATATATTTTTATGACCGGATTTGAATATTTTTCTATTTTTGAAATAAATGGTATTTTACCAAATGACTCGAAAATTCCGACTGTAAAATATAAGGTATTTTAAAATTTTTGTTCAGGTATTTTAAAATTCTTTCCGTTTAGAATTAAGATAGGTCATACATACACATGCAGGGACATTTTATAAATAGATTGCTCTTGTTTACCTGCTAATAAAATATGAAAAAAGAGCACAGCAAAATTTTTGAAGCACTCAATATAACATGTTTGAAATAGTTTTAAAATAATTATTTAAAAAAAAATTTATTGGAAGTAGGTATATACATATTTATTTTTAATAATTTAAAAACTAACTGAAATTATTTGAAACAATTTTATAAGTAACGTATGAATAATCGAAATGAGATAATTCAAATTGTTGAAATGTGTCAACCTATATTACTTTTAATAACATTTTTGTTAGCCGACACTACTCAACTTACCTTATTGGGAAATAGAAAATGTGCATAAAAAATCATACATCCTTCCTCATTAACATTTGAAACCATACTGAAATATGAATTTGAAATTTTTTTTCATTTTTTCTTTCCTCCCACCTTTCTTTCTTTTTCGTGCAATAGAATTTAAATGGGAAGCTTTTTAAAAAATGTGTATAATATCCTGAGATTTTTTAAAATATTAATCTCTTTTTTACGTAAAAAAAAAGAAAAAAATAATAAAAAATATGACACGATCAGTGGCATTTAAAGAAAAAACCAACAACGAGGCCAAAAATTCGTAACATTTCGTAAAAAAAATTGAGTATTGGGACTTGTTAGATATAAAGACATTATTTGCATACATAAAACAATTTAAATGTAATATGTACGAACGAGTGTTGACAGGGGGCAAACTCAGCGTAAAAATTTGCTTTACAAGATAATTATGTATAAAATTAATATGATATTTATATCAAAGAAT